CAAGAGCAAGGTCGGACGTGGATGGAGCTGCCAACGCCAGCTGCAATTAAGTGTTTTTGTCATGATTGCACACATGTACGTAATTTTCACTCACATACACACCCATAGTCGAATAAATTCAGTGTGTCTTTAACAGCCCTCACCCTTTGGGTTGGATACACCCCTGTATTAGATTCCCATTGAGAAGTAAATTAGAGGGCGAACGGAGAGATCATTGGGGTGACGTTCAGAGAACTGAAACCTCACACTTCTCGTTTCCCTCTTCAAGTGATTGGTACCAGAATCCAGTTTGTCCTCTCCTGATTGGGTCTTTATTATGAATGTCGAATTCAGTGTTTTTCAAACCCTGTGCTGTGGCAGTTGTCAGGTATGCCGTGGGAAATTATCCAATATGTATGCCTGTGCGGTCGATCACCTGGAAGAGTAACCATGTCATACTCTTCCATACCGGTCGGGAGCAGCAGCAGCATCTTTCATTTAGATTTACGTTTACCGGAGATGCAACAGCACCAATCTTTCCTCTAAGCGTACTGGTCGTACACTCTCTCTCTCTCAGGCTCTGTCTCACTCTCATTCTCTGTCTCTCTCACCCCTCTTTCTCGCACTCTCTCACTCTTTCTCTCTCTGTCCGCCGCGCACGAAGCAAATAAAAGAGACAGTATGCCAGAGAATAAACAGCATGGTGTGACACACACAAGACTTCCCAAGTGTCTTGTCACGCTGGGCGGGGCTGCAAAAATACGCAGCCAATCAGCTCACAGGATGAATCCACTCGTGCTGTCATTGGTCGACATCGTACCGGAAACCAATCATGCACCTTGAGGCAGTGCCTGTTGCCTAATAGTACAGGCATGTAAAAAACCTCTGAATTGTTCGACATTTTTTTCTGAATACAGTACTTTGGAAAAAAATTTAAAATGTGATGTACGGAAGCCGCGATAAATGGAGCGCGAAATAGCGAGGTATCAATGTATAGTAATCGCTTTTTTTCGCGGTTCAGAAACGCCCCACGAAAGGTGAAAATCACGCAGTAGAATTTGCGCTCTGGACTTATCCATCACTCAAAAATGTGCAATGTCACGCTCTGTGCAAGTCTTTTTCACAAATACCCAAGGATAAAAAAAAAAAAAAAACACCAACATGGATAAAAATAATCAAAGAAAGAAAAATCCACCACGAATATGTGATACTGGTCATGTCACATTTTGAGTTGTAGTCTGAACTAATCTAGCTCTCTGAGTAACCTTCATTGTAATTTTCAACCAGAATTCCATGGGTGTTTTTGTCTTCTTGTGTCTTGCAGATATCAGCGAAGATGCTTGTCCTGAGCGGCTGGATGCAGAGCCCTTTCACATTAAAGAGGAAGAGGAGAACAAAGAGGAAGAACAGCAGGTCCGATACTATAAAAGAGAGGAGCCAAATTACCCTTGCACGAAACATAGTGATAACACAACATCAAATGGTGATAATGATGAGGATGAAGAGTCTGATGGTGGTCTGACATGTCACACTGACAACAAACCCTGGAAATGTTCTCAGTGTGGGAAGATGTTTCCTTATCAGAATGCTTTGAAAAGACATGTGAGAATCCACACTGGTGAAAAGCCTTTTGCCTGCTTATTTTGTGGCCAAAGATTCTCTGATAAGGGAAACTTAAAAATGCATGGAAGAATACACACTGGTGAGAAACCTTTTTCCTGCTTAGTTTGTGGCCAAAGATTCTCACAGAAGGGAACCTTAAAAAGTCACACCAGAACACACACTAGTGAGAAACCTTTTCCTTGCTTAGTTTGTGGCCAAAGATTCTCTGCGAAGGAAACCTTAAAAATACACAACAGAACACACACTGGTGAGAAACCCTATTCATGCTCAGCTTGTGGTAAAAGATTCCCCAATAAGACAAACTTAAGAGTACACACAAGAATCCACACTGGTGAGAAACCTTTTGCCTGCTTAGTTTGTGGCCAAAGATTCTCTGAGAAGGGAAGCTTAAAAATACACGTGAGAACCCACACTGGTGAGAAACCTTTTCCCTGTTCAGATTGTGGCCAAAGATTCTCTCGGAAGGGAAACTTAAAAATACACGTGAGAACCCACACTGGTGAGAAACCTTTTGCCTGCTTAGTTTGTGGCAAAAGATTCTCAAGGAAGGGAATCTTAAAAAAACACACCAGAACACACACTGGCGCGAAACCCTATTCATGCTCAGTTTGTGGCCAGAGATTCCCCCAGAAGGGAAACTTAAAAGTACACACAAGAACCCACACTTGTGAGAAACCGTTTCCCTGCTCAATTTGTGGCCAAAGATTCTTGCGGAAGTCTCAGATTCAGAATCACAAGTGTGATGATGAGATGAACAGTTATCAATGAAATTTACCACTCCCATCGAATCAGGCTTCATCAGTCAAATTGCATTTCATCTACCTTCTTATTTAGATGCTGTAGTTTTCTTTTCCTTGAGTGCATTGAAAAATGTTT